AAAAAATTATTGGTGTACTCAACGGGTGTGCTTTGTCCATGTAAAAGCATTTTAAGACCCTTTTTGTATAGGCAGATTGATGGATAAAAAATTCCGTTTGCTAAATGTTCAATTTGCAAACTAAGATAAAGTTTTGTGTTTCCAAGATCTTTCATCTCAAATTCTTTCTTAAGATATTCAATTGCCTTTTGGAGATCTTCTGGAGTTCCAACAAGATTTATGTCATCAATATAAACAACAAGTATAACCTTCTTTCAGTAAATATTCACTGAGGCGATTATACCATATGCGTCCAGATTGCTTTAAACCGTACAAAGACCTTTGTAATATGATCGAGTACATTTCTCGAGACTTTAAACTTGCTTTAGGCATTTTAAATCCTTCAGGGATATTCATATAGACTTAATCAAATGAGTCATATAGGTTATGCGTTGCATTTAAATGGCATGACATCTTCAGGTGTCTGGACTACAGGTCCGTCACAATCTTTTACAATATTGTGCACTATATTGTATCAAATATATCATCGACGATTATTTTGTATCAGTTCCTAAGCGACATAACTTGTTGAGATCTCATCACTTTCTTTATTTTCAGGTATCTGAACTTCTTCGGGAGTTTCATGAAATGTTATGTCGTGGGCTCTTCTAGAGCTTATTTCCTCCTCATTATGGTCACTTTGATCATTAGCTCCTATCATTTTTTCAAGGATTGTTACCTTTGGAATCGATTAGTCTACCACGCTTCATGCGTATAATAAACTCTATCCTTCAAGGAGTTTAATTTTAATAGGAGCATTTGCAGCTGAAATATGATATTAAATTTTGGATCAGCAAATGCTTCTGGCATTTGAATTGAATTATCTTCTAAGTGAGGATCATATATAAGATAATTAGCATATTTTTCTGTTGTTTATTCCATCCCCCAAATGTTAGAAAAACTAACATATATCCCTAATCTTCTTTGGAAAATATATCTTTGTGCATTGTGGTAGAGAAATTAATCATATACCACACATCAAAAGATAAAAATATTTGATTTCTGATCCTAAACCAATTGTGAGGGGAGGACTTATCATATATTGTTGGTCTGATGCATACAAGTGCTGCTATATGCAATTTAAAAAATCTTGGACCAACACATGAATTTTTGTTCTCATAAATAATAGTTTAGCCATTAATAGGAGGTATTCACTGCTAAACTAGCTTGTATATAAACCAGCATTATCAAGATGAACTATCTTGATTTCATAATCTACAAATTATACTCTTAGTGAGAAAAGCAATTCCAAATGCCAAACTGCAGGTTGACAATAAACATACATGTAACCATCTTATATATGCATCTATAAGTGGTTCACATGATATGTGAATGGGCCTATATTCACCTTTTATATATTTCAGAATCAGGGGTCTTAGTCCCAACTTTAGCTGGTATAATCAATTTATTATGAGAACAAGCAACACAGGAGAATTCTTGAAGAATGCTTATCTGAATTCTCAAATAGCTCATTTAAAAATGGCAAATGAAAACTTCAAGTTTATCATGGCATGTGCTATCTCTTAGTAAACTTCTGGTTTACTATGGCACAAACTTTTGCATTACTAAACTTCTGATTTACTGTGGCTATTTTTGTATAAGTAAATTTTTGATTTACTGTTGCTGCTTTTGCATTACTAAACTTTTGATTTACTGTGGCTACTTTTATATAAGTAAATTTCTGATATACTGTAGCTGTTTTTGCATTAGTAAACTTCTGATTTACTGTGATACATGATGTTGTACAAATTGAAGAATAAGGCAGGTAACTTCTCGCATACATATTTACCCCCTATGATTGTGGAAACATGAAGATTTTCAATCTTTCAATCATTTGTAGTCTCAGTATGATTGTCATTTGTATTAGTAAACTTCTAGTTTACTACAACATATATTTTGACCATAATCATATAATATGAATGATATATTTTTATATAAGCTCTCCAAGAGCCTTCATTCGTTATCCACAATCTAATATTTATCGGAAACGACTAGTGTCATATGTCTTCTAGACAAATAGTTAGCTCTTCAGGAGTTGTTGATATATCTTGTATATCAAATATTGCTCAGAAACTTTTGGTATCATGAGAGAAAATCATAATAAAATAGACAATATAAAGCCAATTCTAAATTTATAAAATGACAAAAATTAAGAATTTTAATATTCTACCACTAACTTTGTGACAAATATCTCATTCAAGGAAAAACACCATTAACATCTGGATATTTTATATCAAAGCGGTAACCACATAGTCATTATATCCTCTAGGGATAGATACACGAGTTGTTATTTCCTTCGGGGAACTCGATAACTAACCATAACATATTAACTTGGTTGTAGTAGAAAGCATTCTACAAGAATACTTTTGCCTTGGAATGATATTAATAAAATTATTCAAGATATTTTACGTACAACGGGTACGTGCGACAATGATCTTTATGCCACAAAAATAAGATTTATATCCTTTGTTATTTTACTTCTTCAGGAGGTGAGTTGTGGTATTTCTTCATTCACTCCAGGGCATGAAAATGTGCTTCAAAAATAACTTTGAATAGCTTATTATTTTATTTAAGTACAGAAAGACACAGTTTCATAATATTTTCCTGCTTTAGGAGAAAATTTCAATTGTGTTACTTATTCAGGAGCAAATTTAAAATACGAAAAAATGAGTATATATTCTCATTACCTCTTCTGGAGGTGAATTGTCATATATTTACATCAATAGCGCGCTCATATGTACGGCTTTATTAATATTGTCACATTCACTTCAGGGAATGGACTAATATTTATAAAAAAATTCTCATCCTTCAGGATATCAAACATAATTATCTAAACGCGCATTAATCACATCAAATTGTGATGCTTTAACCTCTTTTAAAATATTTACTACTTCGGGAGCAAATCGAGGCGGGCATGTAATATAGAGAATATTTATGTAGCTTATCTTCAATTGTAGCCATAGAAAGCCTAAATTATCACTTCTGGTGGTCATAGGCATGTACCACTTCTGGTGGTTAACAAAATTTAGTTACAATAAGATATATGAAACATAACCACTTCTGGTGGTTGTATATTTCTTGTAAACTCCGCTGGAGTTTAAGTGGATCTAACAATGTTATCCACTTTGTAATCCTTTATTAAGATAATAAGGATGAAAACAAACCAAAATAGGTATTGTATACGTAATACATAACCAAGCAGGCGATAAAGATATTAAAACAAAAGCAAAAGGCTCAAATTAAATTACGAAAATTTGGCCACTCTAGATAAGTGATATCTACATCACTATTGCCAAGAAGAAAAATGCACCACCTCAAGGATATATTCAGCATTATGATGCTCGAATGAACAAGATCTAACCACGGACGTAAGAGCATCGCCTTACATCAGAGTTGAACACTGAAGTAGAAATTAAATTCGAAGTAAGTGCTCAAATGGCAGAGTCTTGTGCTGATAACGTGTTATAAAATAAAGACTGTGAAGTAAATAAACCAAAGACAAGTATAGAGAGAGATTGATATATTATTCAACTTCAAATTCATGTACATAATGAAATGAAATATCCTCTATTTATAGAAGAAAGGAAGCTACAGTGTAAGCTGCTACTGCAAGCTGGTGTGTAAGCTGCTACTGCAAGCTGGTGTGTAAGATATAGATAATATTCTACCGGTGGTATTATTTATCCATAATGAAGTACCGAAATGATACGCTTCTTCAGGAGGCTTACTTCCAATAGAGTACCAAATAGATAAATATATTTACAGCAGAATCCTATATGAATAAGCTTCTTCAGGAAATTTATTTACAACGGGATACCAGATGAACATCCATAATAATATATATTTATAACAATAGTAAAGAAGAAACGATTATTTGACCTATTTGCCAGGTGTGGTTGTTGACTGGTTTGCTGTGCACAAATTTTAAAATAGAGGAGTTATCAATTTTTTTGTGTCGCGAATATTTTAATGTTTTATTGTCGGCTTAATTGTTAATTCTGAACACTTGAGAGCAACCTAAATCCAAGTAAAAGAAACAGCCATTTTTTATTCTTAAAATGCTCTCGCCTATCTTGTGAAGTACCCAATGGCAATTGCTTGTTAGTAACGACTAAGGCCATCGTGTTAAGGGAACCTTTGCACCCTCTGAGGCATAATTGCTTCATCATCGACCAGAGATGCAATAGCTTTCAGATTGGACCTGCAAGCGGGGCGGATGTACCTTTATAACACCGTGTTCAATTGAATCCATAACTTTCGATGCAGAGAACAAATTTATGTACAAAAACAACTAAAATCGCAATAAATTATGGATATGAACGCATAACTTTAGGATATAATGAATTAAATACTAAGAACCTTAAAGATTGAACCCATAGAAGTTAAATCCGGGATCCGCTCCGCCTACATGTATAAGTTCTATTGAAGCAATTACCTTAGTCAATAATCAAGTACACCAATTCTTCGCACTTGAGGCATCTATTGGTTTGCACGTAGGCTCAATGGTGGATCCATGAATTTAACAAGGAGATTCAAAAAATAGAAGAGTGCCACCTCTAAGGCAATTCTTGAACCACCTTTACTACGACACTAAAAGCTTCCCTTATGTCAAGAGGACTCAACAACGTACATACACACACACCAAAAAAAAAATGACCCATTTGTGCAGCATAGATTTTTAATGAAGGGGATTCGATTGAACCCCCTTCCTAATAGGTAGCTTTGCTACTGGGCAGGTTCATAGAGGTGAAACCAGAGAGTTTGAAAATTCGCCAATTGCATCAAGTACTGGAATCAACCAGATACACAAAGCAAACCAACTCCTTAACATAGGACAACCATATTATCAGATTCATGGTGATTTTGGAAGCTAAAACTTCATGATTGCAAGCAGCAACTTACAATCTGCTCAACAAGAGTCACGAAAGCTATAGATTCTATTAACAATTGACAGCCCAAGAGAAGGGAATTTCCCCAGCTCGAAAAAGTAGACCATTAACAGAAAAATATAGTCATGCTAAATGCCAGAAACGCCAGGTTCGGTAAAAATTTCAAAAGCATTTACATTGTCCCTAGAGAACACCATCCTCTGAAAATTTCAAGAACTATTTGAAATGAAAAGAAACTCTAAATTTTTGTCACATCACTTAATCAGTAACATCTAAAATTTGCATTGTTCATTTACCATATAAGCTAATTCCATGCTGAAGCAAAGGTAGTTGAAAAGCTACTCCTCATCCACCACAACACTGATCTCACCTTTCTCAAGCATATCGTAGAATTCCTTAGTTCTCCTCTGGTTGTTCCAATGGTGCATCTTCCAGAAACCTCCCGCAACCATGCCAAGAGTAATTCCAATCAGTATCTCCTTAACTACACTTGGACCCTTGTACACAGCATGTGCAACATGGGAACCTGCCATCTTTTCCTCTTCTTTAGGGAAAAGGGATGTAAAAGAAAGGTGTCGATTCCACAAACCAGCCTCAATGTAATAACACTGAATCGCTTACTCATACAAACGAACAGTAAAAAAAAAGTTGCATCAAAATAACATGCAACATGTTCCTCTGTCTCAACTCTCAACTGGCTGCCAATTTTTGCTTTTGAGGTTCTAATTAGTGCATTTTGAATAATGTTTTAAAATGTTATTTTGATTATTTGATATGAAAAAAATATTGAAACTTGATCACCTTTCAAAGACTATTGAAACTAACATCAATAAGCAAAAATAACAAGAATTGGGACGGAGAAATCAAGTTTTATCCAAATTTCCCACCTCTCTACCAACGTACCATATAAAGAAATATAAGTAGATGCTGAATATCTCGTGCATATTTCTCGTATAGCAAAATTGACTCCTACGCAAATCAAAAAGAATTTTATTTATTTTTTCCTTTTTTTTGTTTCTTGTTAGAACAAGGATTGTTGCTTCTTCCAAATCATAATCCGATTATTGAGTTTACGCGAACCACAAGCACATAACTTGAAATCAAACATTTATAATATCAAGCAACAAAAAGCAAAAACTTTTTCCATAGCAAACATCTACTACGTAAATAACCATAGAAATCGAGTAGAACAACGAAAATTCAAAGGAAGGGAAGAAACAAACCTCAGAAAGCAAGTCGGTGAGACGGTGACGCGAGAGAAGCAAAAGGACAGGGGCTCGAAATAGAGGGTTAAAAAGTTGAATTCCTTGTGACAGAATTCTAGAAGCTCCGAAAAATATTCTAGCAGCTACCGAAAGGGTAAATATTCGCTACGACGAACTTTACGCTAGTTATGGTGGTCGACAGGGAATTGAGGATTCTGACCAAATCACGAAAGTCAACGTTGATATGTCCTGCGCTACGGGCGTTCAAGAATCGCCAGCATGGACAACCTTTTTCTTTTTTCAAGAGGGGTCCCTTAATGCCCCGTTTGTCCATAAGAAATTTTTCCTCTTTCGTTTTCTAACAAAAATGTATTTGTCCATGAAATTTTGAAAGTTTTTGAAAAAATTTCTAAACTGTAATATTTTTTCAAATAAAATGCATGTCCAAATATAATTTAAATTACAAATATCATTTTTCAACTTAACTCCAAATACTATTTTATCTATAAATTACAAATTTTATGTCCAAACGCCTACTAAAAATAGAAGTGTGCCTTTTGGCACCACATGTGGCAAGGAAATTATTAAATTGAATATAATTTTCACGAAAGTAATAAAAAAGGGCAGCCATGTTCACTAAGCTCCCGCTATGCGCGAGGACCGGGGAAGGGCCGGACCACAAGGATATATTGTACGCAACCTTACCCTGTATTTTTTTGTAAGTGTTTGTATTAGTACATTTTAATATTAAAATTATAATATTAAAGTGCATTATTTCTTGTGAGATAGTGGTTATAAATTGGCAAGAAAGTGGTCATTATTTTGGTGTAACTCTTGAAACCACTAGTGCCATGATCTACCACTAATTACCCACTGAATGTTAAATTTGTAACCACCAACCATGTTCTATAACTTTATTATACCACTACTTTGTTATTTATTTCATGAAAAAAATTCTGCACCTATAAATAGTTGTGTTTCTTCCTTGTGTTTGGTGTGGAAAAATATGGTAGTGTGTATGAAAAAAGTGAACTTGGTGTAGTGAAAAAGAGAGTTATGAGAAGGAGAAAATCTAAGTCTCCAACTTAATGTCTACAAAAGAGAATATTATTTTTGTTGAAGGAAGGAGTTCATTTTGGTGGAGCTTTGGACTCAACAACTTGTCGAGAGTTTGTTCGAGTCATACGATATGATCAGGCTATTGTATCCTGGGGGAGACAGGTCAAGAGGATTACTGCTGGACCAGTGAAAACTTGGTTGCAGTGGGCTTGATTCACCTTAAAGAGAGTGAGATATCCGCGCCTCAGCCTAAAGAATATTTATTTATTTTTCTTCATCTTATTTTGAACTGTAATTACTTGTAATTTCACCAACAGTTTTAAGGATATTCAATTTTTTTTATGCAGTTGAAAAAATAGCGGATATCAAGACAGAAGTTCACTCTCTTTATGAGATTGAAAGGTAAAAAAAATTATATGGTTAACTCAAGCAGAGCAAAGGTAAAAATAATAATTTACCTTATATTTTTATGAGTATGTGATTTATTATTTATAATTTTGAATTTTCATAATTCTAGAAATAGTGGGGGTAAATAATAATAAAAAATTCTTGCATGAAAAATTTGAATATTCATGCATGAGTGAAAGTTGATTAAATCAAAGAGTGTGATAAGTGCATCTATCATAAGTCTTGGAATAATTCACATGTAATGTTTGCCTCTATGTTGATGATTTGCTAATATTTGGCCCTAACATGAATGTGATTGGAGAAACTAAGAGCATGTTGAGTAGCCATTTGACATGAAAGATTTGGGGGAGGCAAATTTCATTCTTGGAATGAAAATTACTAGAACATGTGGTGGAATTTTCCTTGACCAGTCACATTATGTTGAGAAAATGTTGAAAAAATATAATTTTATTGATCGCAAGCATGTTGTAACCCCTTTTGATTCAAGAGTTATTTCCTGTACAAAGTGACAATGATATGATAAATCAAAAGGAATATACTAGCTTAATTGAAAGTTTGAGAATATGTGACTGATTACACTTGATTTGAGATTGCATACGCAGTATGAGTACTTAGCAGGTTTGCAAGCAAGCCAGATAATGAGCATTGGCATGCCATAACAAGAGTTATGAGGTATTTACTTGGAACAAAAACTTATGGCTTTTCTTATAAAAAATATACTGCTGTACTTGAAGGCTTTTCTGATGCAGATTGGAACATTTTATTTTTGAGAGGTGGTGCTATTTGTTGGAAATCGAAAAAGCAAACAATAATTGCTAACTCTACCATGGAGGCTGAGCTAATTGCTTTAGCTTCAGCTAGTGAGGAAGCGAATTGGTTGAGAGATTTATTATTTCAAATTCCTTATTTTGAAAAACTAATTCCTCCTATTTTAATTCATTGTGATAGCACCGCTGCAATTGGTAGAGTACAAAACCGTTATTACAATGGTAAATCCAGACCTATAAGGAGAAAATACATTACTATGAGATCATATTTGACAAGCGGTACCATTAATGTTGATTATGTTAAATCTTGTGATAATCTTGCAGATCCATTGACTGAGGCCTTGGCAAGAGAAAGGGTTTGGAGCACATCGAGGGGGATGGGATTGAAGCCCACAAGCTCATAAGTCATATATGAGGAAACCCAACCTGGGGACTAGAGATCCTATAACCAGGTTCAATGGGAAAAACGAATCATATGATGACTTGGTTTGAAATGCACTATTTTTTATTGTTCCATCCCTATAGTGTGAGTGCATTTATCCTGTAATGATTTCCGAGGTTGAGTTTTATTAACTCTTAATGAAAATCTGTAGCTCGTATAAGTGGGGTGTTAGAGTTACAGGAGCACCCTTGACAGATTTCACCTATGTGAGTGTGGAAGTAGGCCGCTTCCTATGAGAATTGGGCTTGTTCTCAAAAACACTCATGAAAACCGGGATAGCACAAGGCCGTAATGTGCTGGCTAATAAAGCTCATGTCAACACCTTGATTATTATGTGTAAGCAGTGATACTTTATTTCCCTAAAGCAGTCATAGTTCAAGTCTGAGACCACTACTGACTCAGGAGTAGAGATTGCTGTTTTACTAAGTGGAGGTTCAATGCATGTAGAGCATACCTTCATTATGCATAATAGTCTCCCTTCAACTGGTAAACTCTCTTAATTTAATATTAAAATGAGTGGGGGAATGTTGGTATTAGTGCATTTTAACATTAAAATTATAATATTAAAGTGCATTATTTCTTGTGAGATAGTGGTTATAAATTGGCAAGAAAGTGGTCATTATTTTGGTGTAACTCTTGAAACCACTAGTGCCATGATCTACCACTAATTACCCACTAAATGTTAAATTTTGTAACCACCAACCATGTTCTATAACTTTATTATACCACTATGTTACTTATTTCATGGAAGAAATTCTACACCTATAAATAGTGGTGTTTCTTCCTTGTGTTTGGTGTGGAAAAATATGGTAGTGTGTATGAAAAAAGTAAACTTGGTGTAGTGAAAAAGAGAGTTATGAGAAGGAGAAAATCTAAGTCTCCAACTTAATCTCTACAAAAGAGAATATTATTTTTGTTGAAGGAAGGAGTTCATTTTGGTGGAGCTTTGGACTCAACAACTTGTCCAGAGTTTGTTCGAGTCATACGATGTGATCGGGCTATTGCATCCTGGGGGAGACAGGTCAAGAGGATTACTGCTGGACCAGTGAATTGCTGCAGTGGGCTTGAATCTCCTTAAAGAGAGCGAGATATCCGCGCCTCATCCTGAAGAATATTTATTTATTTTTCTTCATCGTATTTTCAATTGTAATTTCTCCAACAGTAAGATTTCACGAAAGTACTAGATTTTGAATTATTACTTAGTATTTCAGGAAAACTTTCTTTTTTATCGATGCGTAAAAAACAAGGAACATTACCTACTATACCAAATTAAAATATAGTGTACAAATTCTTATGCCTCATATATAGCATTAGCAATACAAATTCTTCTGAAAGAACATTATCGCGGAGAGTAATCTTATTCAACAAAGCAAAGGAGGCCAAACAGGTTTTCTCGGCTAATCTTTCACTTTTACGCGTACTTCCAAGAGTGACATCTCATTATTCTCAATATAGTTGAGAAAAGCAAGGCATTGGATTTAACATACTAGATACAACCACGTTCACTCAAACAGAAATGAGAAAATACTTTTAAACCCATAGGGATTTGCTTGGCTGGTTTCTCCCACTTGTACTGAAGAAGAGCACCGTTGTTCCTGGAAACTTGGAGAACGTAGTGGATATCCAACTTTATTCATATTAACGTAAGAATCTGAAGATGACAACAATCTTGATCTTTCCTCTGCAGCTTTTCTTGAGGTCACTAAAGAAAGGTCAGTTTTGTCACTAGTGCAGGGTGTGTTTCCATTAAGAGTTAAATCATCAACCTCTTTAATTTCTATAATTGCCTTTCGCTTTGTGTTCACAGGCTCAAGATCCAGATTAGCTACTGCGTTTTGCGCAACTTTTGTTGGAATTGTCTCTTGAAACCCAAAGATGGCAGAATTATGCTCAGGTTGGTGCACTGTGTAGGTTTCGTTTGCCATACTGAGTAACTTGGATTCTGTGTTCTTCACATTCTCAAAGCTGTGGAAGATCTTAGAATCCATAGGCTTATAATCGAATGCCATTTCTTCAGCCACTGTTTCAAATGGAACACTCCCAGTTTCAAAGGAAAGCTCACCTAGAACAGTGTAATTTGATGTCAGCCTGCATATAATCTACAAACATTAGTACCAAGGACTTCGTATATTACCTGGACTAGCCAGGTAAATGGCATTAGAGACGTGATGGCTATCTGGTCTCTGATCTTTGTTATAGAATGGTCTATTTTCTTCTAGATCGATATATTCTGCAGATTGAATGACCATGCTGCGACGTGGGACTTTGGTTCTTGTCACTTCTTCCGGTACTCCAGCATTCTTAACAAGAAGCTGCTCCTCGCGAGTGCGCTTTATGATGTGTTTCAAAGTCTCTAATGATGGTGAACATGTACCTTTCAATGGGGTAAAAGCAGGGAGGCTTTTACCCTTTTCACGTATATGGTCAAATATAGTCTTTTTGTCTATGATTCTGCATTCATCATCTTCAACCACAGCAGCAGTTACCACTTCATTGATGTATATAGCAACAGAAGTCAGTGACATATTGACGTACATGAAACACTAAATGTGAGAATTTAATTGCTACCTTCCTCTATATCTTCGTCTATTAGCTTGAAACTGGGCCTGATTACAGAAACAAAAAGCCAGTTAGTATTCACTGTGGAAGCAGATTCAACCCGTCATACGTAAGAGAGAACGATGGGATCTGGATCCTTCAGTTTCCACAAAATTATTTCATAGGGTCCATCAAACACAGTCGGAATTTATTAAAAACTTAAACTGCCCTCTCATATTTAAGGTCATATATCTAATATGCATACCCCAAATCAAAATAAGGAACAGAGGCTACAGAGTTAGCAGTCATATTGTCAACCATCATGGTTATCAAATACTTTACGCCCATAAAAAGGAAAAGTTAGCTCTCACATGTCTGAGCTCCATTCAGGTTCAGGTAAAGTGTTAGACACTTGGCATGAAGCTTGAGCTGCACCCTCTGTGTCCTTTATGACGCAGGCATCATTGGCTTGGAACGAAGAAAGCTGCTTGGTTCTGTACTTGTTCACAAAATTAAGGCCAATCTCCTTTATCAATAAAACCTTTTGATGGAGATCCACACCAACTGCATAAAAATGGTGTGATCTAGTCAGATAACACTCAGGGGCACAGGAGTACACATAAATGAAGCTACACATAGAATGTCTGAGGAGTTAACTAAATTCATCAAATATCAGATCTGCTTTAACAGTCAGCTTCCCTTGCTGAGGGCTTGGCACCAGAACTGTCCTGCTATAAGGGCTGTAAAAGAAAACCAAAATATCAGTGCAGATCACTACTAACTATGACATACACTCAAAAGAGTTTCATGAATTTGATCATCTAGTTGGTACAGTCTAGCAGTTTCTCAGGCCTGATCTGGAAATGAGGATCAAGCTTCTGAGAGTACCTAGGGAAGTCATCCACCCTGCAGGTAAAAAAAGAAATTTCAAGTCATTTTAGTGGCTAAAGAACTTGAAGAGAAACTTAACACCATTAGATCATAAGTTGAACACCCATGCAAATCATTCAAAAGGTGTCAAAATGTATGGCTAGTCATACAAAAGTAGATGATGGACGCCTAAATTTTGAATTAATATAAACATGCTTCGAAAATGTCAATGTTTTGTTGGAATCTTCTTTTTTTGAAGAAAAATAATGGCATTCTAAATTTGAACTGATACAAACATGCTTTGAGATGTCCTTATTTTGTTGGGAAGCTTCTAAAAAATGATGGCATTTTAAAGTGCCCACTTTATCTTAAAGAATATATTACCTTATTTTCTCATGAAATAGTACCAGATTATCTTCTTCAACGCCAACCACCTGTCAGAAAATTTTCAACTGAATGTCAGAGTAAATTCTACAATAAAATGAGTGCGAGATGAGACAAAATAGTGTGTATGCGAGTTGGTCCCTGTAATTAGCATACCATATCAGCATAATGTCGTTTAGTTGTTTGCACAGGTTGTGACAACCTAGTCAGCGTTACCATAACCTTGGACTTCCCTTGCCTTTGGCTCTCAGTTTCCTCAACCTTCATCTCAACTTTTGGGGGTAACGATAGTAATGACTCTTTTATATGATTCCCAAAAGGATATTTTCTTCCAGTGACTATCTCTATTTTCCTTGGATCAGCCACAGAGAGTGAGGCAAATGATTTTACTCCCATTGAATGCAGTGCCTATGCAGGAAGATAAGTGTATGTCAGAAGAAAACTTAGGGTTCAGTCTCTTGTCCCAAGACTTGGACTATCAGATGAACATAAGCTACAAACCTTTGCTGTCACCATTCCAATACCAGGCAATTGTTTCAGCAAGTATGGACTGTCATCCCAGACCTTTTGATACAAAGATTTGGCTAGAAGTGCTGAACTCAAAGTTCCTCGATAGTTCTTCCTGAATAGGAAATACTCTTTCATGCACTTCGCAATTCTATAGCCATTTGCACATATAGAGTTCATGTCCTACATCATTAAAAGACTATTAGAAGCATTATTCTTGGCACATGGTAATATAATACATGAAATTGATGGCGAAACCTGGCTAAGGGATAAATCATGGACTAAAGGATCCCCCGTTAGGCAGTCATTTGCCAAAACAAATATCTTCTCTTCTCTGGTTTGTATCCGCTTTTTTCTTTTCCCCTTGTCCCCAAGGATGTGAAAGCGAAGCCGATTGTCTTTGTCGATGTTTATGTCATTCAGGAGCTTCTTCTCATTGCGCCTCAGTTGTATCCCTTCATATTACAGGCAAGTGAGATATAACACCAGTTGTAATTACTCAAATTTTTTTAATTTTGTAGAGTATGAATAGATACAGGCAAGTTCCTCAGCACTGCAAATAATTTGAAGTGCATCCTCTATGCTACAGTTCCCAGGGGCTTGCATGATGTGCTTCATAGTGTCGAATTTCAGATAATATTTCGTCATCAATCTTCCAGGTTCTGCATATACAAGAGGCAGAATTTAGATTTCCAACATGGATATTATGCTATACAGCATTCTGAAATTTCCATACCAAGAGGCTTTAAGCGGAAACCATCTTCATCTGTCCAAATCAATTGATACCTTGACAACTCATGTACATTCTGAACACAAATATCTGGAAAACAAATTTTAGGTGAGCACACATGGCTAGATGAACTTGAAATGACTTCATAGTTTACCAGTGTTATTGATCACCTTGCATATGGCTCTCTAAACTGTCGCCACTTAGCCCTCTCCTTACTGCATATTTCTCTGGGTTCTATATTTTGAGTGAAAAACGTTAGGAGTAAAATTTTACAGAAAATTCAGATAGATCATGTTCTCCATCAATCTGCTCAGGATGATATACCTTTTTTATTCTTACATACAAATATGAGCATTTCATCCATTCAATTGCTCCTGTTATATCTGACACGGTGAGCTGAACAATCTCTGCTGCTAGGTGCTCTGTAACACATGGAAGCAATCTAAAGAGAAAGAAAACCACGTCAACTTCTTGGTAAGACAGTCCTTTTTGCATGCACCCAAGATCGAAGAGCACCACTAACGAACAAGATGAATAATTACATACTGTGACTCCACCAGTTCGCATCCACTTAATAAATTCTCGTACAAGTGAACCTAATATGTAAAAGAAGGTTTCAGATAGGAAAATTAGCAGTAATGATCAAGATGGAGTACAGTATATTAGCTACTGACTGAGGGCAGAGAAATGCTTGGAGAAAAGAAACATAAAATTACTCTTTCTACGTCAAATTTTTATGATGCAGTGAACCTTATCTGTATCACAATAAAAGACTCACAGTTTCTTTTCTGGTCATTATTATGACCATTCCTGTGTCATCAAAAGGTGGTCGACCTGCTCTTCCAGACATCTACAATAATAGTTGGACAACATATAGCTCTTATCTGGAACTAAGAATATTTTTACTTTAAAGTCGTAGTTTCCAAGTGTGGACAAAATCATGATCTCTGAATGCCAGACATAGACTACACTTTTAGATCGCAGAATACAAATGACGTAGCAGAGGAACCCCAGGGATGAGGAGCATGCCTGCAGGACCGTTGATCTGTCATATTCCATGTAAATCCCTTTTTCCTTATTGCTGGAAAGAAAATGATAGAGTTACAAAGATGACAATCCGACTTATGAAAAAAATTAGATAATTGCTGGAGACATACTAGTGCTGAGTTGATTTGATCACAACAGTATGCGCTGGTAGATTTATTCCATGGGCAAGAGTATTTGTAGTGCACAGCACTTGAATATCACCATTAAGAAATAGGCCTTCAATGAGGCTGCGGTCATTCATGGAAAGGCCACCATTGTGATAACCAACTGCATAACACAGATAATCATTAATCTGCAGGGTCTATTGCTCAATACAACTCCATATTCAACCTCCCGCCTCAAAGGAAAAAAGAGGGAAAATGAAAAACACATTTTTGTTTCAATCATTGGTCTGATAGGGCTGCAACAAAAGGTAGGGAGAATAGTACATACCACCATAAAGAATATAAGACTGCATTTGTTTGTCATTACATGATAGTGAAGCTTCCCTTAACCTTTCTTGTTGTTCTCTGCTTTTGATGAAAGGATTTGAATGACCATAGGTCATTGCAGCCTGAGAGAGCTGCTGTGCTGCCTCTTGTGCTCCTTTTCTGGTTGAGCAAAAAACTAGAGCAGATTTTCCTCTAGAATGTTGCATGAGAATATCTGTACAATTTCTCATGCTTAGCACGAGAAAATGTGTAGAACATAGTAAAGGAGTAGAAATTGAAAATAGGAGGTATATGATGTCCCAACTAGCTTCTTATGCTTACCAAAGACATAGTTCTGTAAGCGCTGGAAAAGAAAAACAACAGTATCATCAGGACATTAAGAGGTATTTCAAGGTGTAATAATGAAATCTCCTGCCATCCCCTAAAATCGATTCTTAAATTTGACAAAGCAAGACATGAAATTGGATAGGCGGGAAGGAGGAGACATGCAAAACTTTTATTCAATGAAAGGGGTGATAAGACGCCTAAACAGAAACTTGAAAAAGAAAAGCCAACAAACAACATACCTTTTCAAATAGGAAGTCATTCTTCGCCGGAGTGTATCCTGCAGACAAAGGGTTGAAAATGCAGAACTCAATAAAAGACAAAGCAGCGGTTACCCCAGAGAAACATGTCAATGCACTTCCGACAGAGGCGCTTAATGCATTTCATAGGCATTATAGTGACATGTATGATTCAGATTGCTCAATGTACTTCCCCATAATTTTATCAAAAAGTACCCTGTTTCCAATAAAATACTTTGTCACTTACATGGCATTTGGTTCACAAAATCCAACTCAAAGAACTAACTGAGACCAACTTTAATATTCCTGTTCCAACTCAGTTTTACACTTCCATTTTTTTAGTTTTACACTTTCTGATATTATACTCAAATTCACAATTCACCTTCCAAACTAATACCAAGCAATACGGATTTATCTAGATCTTAAAACTGTGAAAAGTCAAACAATGACATTTAATCTGAAATACAGGTAGTACTAAGCACAAACTGTTTCGACTCAATGAGTTTGGGTGTAACCAGGACTGAATCAAATAGAACATCAGTCGTAAGGATTAGTAAATACCAAAAACTTTTGTAGTCAACTTCACGGGTCTCATTTCTTCTCCAAACCTGCATATTGGACAGTGTCATATAGAATGAAAATGATCATTCTTTGCGCAATAAGAACGACTGATAGATGCCATATATACTGAATTCTACCTTTTTACTCCTTGCCGGGGAACCATGAGCCACTCCGCTGCACAAAGAGAGAGCTACAGTCAGCTACTACATCAGCGATTATCATGAAAGGGTGGCTTGTTTGAACTGTCTTGAAATTTACCAAGGTCATCAATGTTGGGAATGGTTGCAGAAACAGCTATAAGACGGACATTAGCTAGAGCACTTGATTTCAGTTCAGGTTTGCGAGAAAGCATTTTAATTCTACTGACAATTGCCTCTAGAGCTGCTCCACGAGTATCATTCAACAAATGGACTTCATCAATTAGCACCAATGCAATATCACCAAAAAAGCTCAGGCCTCCATCTTTTATGCGATAACGAGTCACAGCATCAAACTTCTGCAGGAAAAAAGCAAATTCAAAGACAAACACATAGTTAGCCAAGAAACAACAAAAAAAAGTCATGGCTGGTTTTCATCAATAGTCTGACCTCAGGAGTGGTAAGAACTACGTCAGCATCCTGTATATCCTTGATGTTGTAGTACTCATTGTCCCCAGTCAGTTCCAGGCAGCTTATCCCCCATGAGCCAAGCTTTTGGTTCCAATTGCGAAGCTTCTCTTGTACCAAAGCTTTCGAGGGTGCAACATATATCTGTATATCAAAAGAAAAAAGGAGGTTGCAGTATGGTTAAATGACTGAAATATGCTGAAAATTTCAAATGGCCACATAATCTTCTTCGCATGGGCTGGAGTAGGCAATAGTGGCTCATAATCTTCTTCGCACGGGCTGGAGTAGGCAATAGTGGCAAAAATCATTGTGAATATTCTGACTGACATATGCAACTATAAACATAAATCGACAGGATGTAAGTAGGAATGACCAATAAAACGTGATGTATTGAGGTGCACTAATTCTTTATCCCAAAAGATGATCCTCTTGGTGCTTGTATATGCTAGATAAAAGTAGTAGCAAAAAGAGAATCTAAAATAAGTAATTGAGGATCTTTTGAGCTGCAGGTATGAAGTAAAATAGACAAGGCATGCAGTTAAGACATCACAAATTGAAAGTATTCCAGCACGTTGAGTTCTTTCTTTCAATAGAGATCCTTATCGTTGAAATTACAAATTCAGTCATCTTACGCTAAACATTGATAGAGACTTACAGTCTTCAGAGACCCCTTTATGTGAATAAATTTCCCCTCTCCTGAGATAAACCTTGAGAGAAGCCTCAAAATGCATAGTTCAAAAAGCACTGTTTTTCCACTTCCAGTTGGTGCCGAGATTACCATGTTCATATCCGATAGGAAACAAGCTGGAAAGCATTCGCTCTGCAGCGAGTTAAAGTATCTGCATGTAGAAACAACAGTATTTAAAACCTTACAAACTAATTTGGGATACTAAAGAATGTAATACAGTAATAGCATAGCGCAGATGTGAAGCTGCTGATCAAACAGCCATCTCGAATTTGACTTGTGACCAAGAGCAAATGAAAAGAGTTAGCAGCATTGAGACATTTCTAGGAGTCTGGAAACAGTATTCAAGCTTCGTGGCTAGTCTATGTATAGAGCTTCTTAAATGATTTATGTTACACTATAACTACTATGTCTCAACACTAAACTAGTTGCGGTCTGTTACATGTTTCCTCTCTCTCTCTCTCTCTCTCTCTCTCTCTCTCTCTCTCTCTATATATATATATATATATATATATATATATATATATATATATATATATATATCCTTCTGCTCCAGTTGGACTCATTTCATTCAAATACTCAACTATTTCTTAAAACAAAGTACTGGTTCTCTAATAGATGTTCTCTATATTCACATTTATCCCCACACTTGGTCACTTACGTACAAATTTCAGGTGATGCCTAAAACGCAATACGAGAGTATATAATTTCTTAATTTCAAGGATTCCAGTACAGTAAGCGCACATGAGCAATCAATCACAGTGCTGACTAACAGAAGCCTTAAGAAATTTACATAAAATATGTCAGCAAAACAAAAAATCAAGTTTTAAAGCAATCGAGTAGAAAAAAGTGCACAGAATAGTACCTGAAACTGAAAGTTGAACGGAATAGAGGAGGCAAGTCCATCACAGACCTAAGTGCGTAGCCATCCATGATCATCGAATTTGAAATTCAAATCAAACGGTTATCGCAACTTCAAATGGAAGTCAGAATTCGATAATAGAAGTTACAACAAACTGAACCGAGTACTACTACTACTCTATTAGGCATTAACTATTACAGCGATCCAAATTAACACCAGGGCAAGCTCCAAGGCCTAAGCCACTAATAGCCTGTTTGGAAAATGAGCTTATTTTAAGAATTTTTTTTTTTAAAAGTGCGGGTGAGAATAATTTGTGTTTGGCTAATAAATTTGAAAAGCATTTTTGTGCGGTAATTATTGTTTGGTCAAGCTTTTAAAAATTGATTCTAAGTTTTTTTTTAAAAAGTGCTTTTGGAGCTTCTACTCAAAAATACCTTCTTTTTTTTTTCTTCTAAAAGTTTGGCCAAACAATGTAACTTAGAAAAAAAAAGTACTTTTTTGAAAGAATAAAAAAATACTTTTTACTTTAAATAAGCTTGGCCAAACAGATTATTTTACCTCAGGCCCAAATTAGTGAGGCATCATTTATTTAATAGTGAATTTTATATTAAATTTTTTGGAAAAGTAATGAATGTTTTAAAATAAAAATATAGGATCTTTACGTAAAAGTGGTTAAATAATGATCATTTAGTAATTTATATATACTTTGTGCATTCTTTTTTTTTTTCATAAACCGTTTATTTCTGTTATGAATCAATTCCAACCCAATAAGAATATCAACTCACAAATAGCTACTAGGCCGAGAACACGCAATACGGTTAGGCTAATTTGGGATCCGAGTTGTGTAGTGAGCCCAAGAACTATTCTATTAAAAGAGTAGTGGTCGGTGATTTTGAGATTATGCGAATTGTTATTTGGAAACTCCTCTCTCCTGGTCTCTCTCTCCCTCGCCTATTTCTCTATGTGGCTCTGTCTCCCTTGTCTCCTTTCTTTCTGTTACTATTTCCTTAGTTTATGACTATATCCTTTGCATTTCTATTGTAATTAGTTATATGAAAGTTTAAGTCAACCTTTTGTTAAGTTCATAACAATTTCTCTCAATAATAACACTAAGAACATTGAATAGATTAAATTGCATTTACTTTTTTTATCCTTTCTCAAGTTTTTAAGCGTCAGAGCAATGAAATTATATTTTAATATCAAGTAATTCAACTTCTAGAATCATGCTTTGTTATTTTCAATGTTTATTGTCTTTTTTTCAAATTTGACATTTGTTGTTTTTACCTAAAATCGGTATTGTTTTTATATTATATATTAATTTAAAATTTAAATTTGGCAACTAAAAAATACCAATAAAATTACTTAATCACACAATTAAAAAAAAAAAAAAAAAGAGGGATTGAAACATTAATACAACCTCAATATGGAGCTCTCTAAAAAAATGTTTCAAAAAATTAAAAAGATTAAATAGATTGATTGTATTGTCAATTGATACAGAATTATTAGAAGAAATTGATTAACACACACTAAACTCAATAATCTGCAACAAGCACCGTCGAAACAGCTTCAACTTCGAGCTTAACCTGTAACAATGGAGCTCGATAAGTAGGGGGTGATTATCATCGAAGAATGAAGGAGAATATAGAAAAATTTAGATGAGATGAGAGAGAAGAAGAATCGAAAAACTGGGAGAGATAATTACAGAAGAGCAGGAGTAAGGAGAGGCGAGCATGCCAAAATTCGTTCACGCTTTTTCTGAGTATATATATGTTTAACTGGGCTAATCTGGACCGTCACCTTCTCTTGATCTCGTCCTTACACATGTAATATAACAACCACCTCAATTAGTCGTTAACTTTGAATTACCCGCTAATCTCAATTAGCCGAACGGCGCCGCTTCCCTTTATTTTTTAACAACTATGTCGTTCTTTTCTTTTCAAACTTCATCTTATCTTTGAGGAAACTTAATTAAATCATCTCTCTAATAATAAATAGAGACAGGATTTCTTTTTAGTTTTACTGTTAGCTCAAACCAGTGGCAGATCCAGGATTTATATGTCGTGGGTGCTTCACTAATTTTAGCATAAATTTACAATGATCAAATATGATCATAGTGGGTGCTCATGGTCAATTATTCAAAATTTTAAATATTATCTATGAATAGATAACATAATTTGGCCAAAGTCAATGGGTGCTTCAGCACCCATACTTGAAAACGTAAGTCCGCCACTGGCTCAAACTGCTAACCATGGAGAATGAGTTCCTAAAGCAATTTCAGAATCATATAACACCAACATCAACTAATTTGGAATTGAGCGTAGGTGTTGATTCAATATAGTGGAGTATCAGTTCGTGTTAGTTATTAAAACACCTCAAACTTATATATATCCCCTTGCAAAGAAATCATTTTATTGGATGTATATACATGCAATGTAAAAAAGAATTACACTATGTTAACTGTAGTAACAAGTAACTTGCATCATTTTCCAAGTTACTGATCTCACTTTTTATGAACGGTTACTATGAAGATCTCTCGTAAGTGACCTAATAAAGTAACAAAAATTTTACACTTTCAATCTATAGAAGTTATACACATTAAGACGAGCATAGTTTCGGCAACCACTCTCCATTATCCTCCAAAATTTGCCACCGATAGACATTTACAAGTAACCAGTGTTCCTGTGTCAAATCATCATCTTTCCGAGAAGTAGGAGTATTATGGAAGTATACAAATGACGGAATAATCAATGGATTATATCATATTGACCGAGATGAGCTTTGAAGGAGTGACATGGACAATAATGATTCATATAGCAACTCCAACTTGCTTGGGATTGAGGCGACGTTGTTGTTGTATGGAATAATCAATGAATATATTAATCCAAAGAGCCTTTGTCTATGGCGGAAAAGGTCAAAAGGTAGACTTATACATTGTCAGTAAGTCAGTTTCACTTTACAAAATTACAGTGTCAGGCAGGCATTTCTGCAGCAATGGTTCAAAACCTTTTGCTCCACGAGATAATTTATTCACTCAATTTTCCCAAAATGGACCTCTGTGCTGCAACTGGCTTCAGTTAACTGCCCCTCAAAATATGAAGCAATCTATATAAGCTGCATTTCTGACCTCAGTAGTTCCAAAACCTCGTAAATCTCTGTGGACTCACTGTGAGAACCATCCTGGGAATAAAATGAATGGAGTTGGTTTCTCACTTCAATCCAACTACATCCCCCGCTTTTCTTCAGTCCTTTTTCCTTCATTTCTTTTCTTGTGTGTAAGACATCCAACCATCTTCCAGCCGAAGCATAAACATTTGAGAGCAACACATATCCTTCGGGATGCTTTTCTGCCAGCTCTGAAATCTTTTCGGCTACCCTTACTGCCATCCTCTCATTTCTGTATGTTTTGCAACCACTTAAGAGAGCTGCCCAGGCTTGAACTTCTGGTTCACAAGGCATGTCCAAGATGAACTTCTCTGCTTCAGAAAGGCGTCCTGAACGAGACAGCATGTCCACTACACAGGTATAATGTCTAGCATTCGGTTGCATATGATAGACCTTTTCCATTGAATTGAAGTAATGGAGTCCTTTGTCTACAAGACCACAGTGGGAACAAGCAAATAAAACTGCTAAAAGAATAAGCTCATTAGGCGTAATGGACTTCGTCCATTCAAATTCTTCAAATACAGCAAGTGCTTCCTCTGCAAAGCCGTTTTCTGCAAGCCCTTGAATCATAGCTGTCCAGGAAATCTCGTTACGTTTGGGCATCCTTTTGAAGATTTTCTTAGAGCTTTCAACATTACCAGATTTGGCATACATATCTAGAAGGGCAGTGTCCACGAAAACGTCAGAGTGAAAGCCAAGTTTAATGACCTTACCATGCAAGTTCTTCCCCCTTTCTAATGAAGCTAAGCTCGCACAAGCACATATAACACTGGAGAAAGTAGACTTACTTGGTTGTTCTCCAGACAGAAGCATGTCACTGAAAACTTCAAATACCTCATCGAATTTTTCATATTCTAAATAACCTGTTATTAGCGAATTCCATGAGATGTTATTTTTTTGGGGTATCTTGTCAAATAGCTCCTTAGCTTCTTCAAGTTGGTTATTGAGGCTATAACCACTGACCATTGAATTCCAACAAACAACATTCTTCTCCAATATCGAATCAAATGCTACACGTCCATCCTTTGAGCTTCCACATTTGCAGTACAGGTCAACCAGTGAGCTACCAATGAAAGCATCTCTCTCAATCCCAATTTTTAAAATTTGTCCATGAACAATCCTTCCCGTTATCAAAGCTTCCAGGCTGGCCAATGCACTTACTACGCTAGCAAAACATGACTTATTTGGTTTATACCCCTGTTGAACCATGCGATGGAAGAGATTCACCGCCTCTTCTGCATCACCATTCTGACTATACCTCGAGATCATTGTACTCCAAGAAACTTCATTTCTTTCTGGCATCTCATCAAAGACGCGACGAGCTTCAGCCAAGTCTCCCATCTGAACGTACATATCTAGTATCGCTGTCCAAGAAACAACATCTCTACACTGCATCCTATCAAAAATTCTCCTAGCTGAAACAACATCATTCAATCTCAAGTTAAATGTGATCAAAGAATTTGAAACTGACAAGTCATGTTCAAAACCAACCTTAACAATCAAACCCAATACACACGTTCCCAAATAAAAATCACTCAACTCTCCACACGCTCTCATAACAGAAGTAAAGGTGACATTATTGGGTATTACTCCAGATTGAAGCATCTCTACAAACAGCTTCATAGCTTTAAAACTCAACCCATTTTGAACAAGCCCACTTATAGTTGCAGTCCACGAAAACAGATTCTGAAATGGGTTTCTCTCAAAGTAGCAAATAGCCTCATCAACTCTTCCAAACCTCAAAAACCCCGAAATTATAGCAGTCCAAGAAACCTCATTTCTCTCAGGCATTTCATCAAACAGCCGACGAGCTTCATCCATCTTTCCCCACTCAAGATTCGCAGTAATCAGACAATTATGCACAACTAAATTGAACCCATCAAACTCCTTCAGCATCTGACCAATTTCCTTTGGTTTTCTGGATTTAAGGTACATAATAAGCAACTTAACGGCAATGTGTTTCTGAGATGAAATGCCTGTTTTTATCAAATGCCCATGAAGAATAGTCCCTTGGACGATTAGTCTTTCTTTAGTGATGTCGTTAAGGACTGAGACAATCTTGTTTACATTAGCCTTCACGTTTTTTCTTGAGTTAAAGAGGAGAGACCTCAGAATACTTCGCATGCTGAATGCTAGGCCTAAACATTTAACGCGTAATAGCATATAAAGTTGAAGAGTAGTTTATTAACTTTAAGAGATCAATTAAAAAGCTATTATGATACATTAAAGATGTAGATGTTTAACCAAAATTTGGAATTTCGGACAAAGCTTTATTTTAGAAGAATTCGGGTTACTGATAATCAAATATATAATGAATAAAAGGAATTGACTTTGGTATATTGCAATAGTATTTTTTGTGTCCTTACAAATGTTCAATCTTCTCCCTTTTATAGCTACCTCGAAGTAATAGAGACTTTATGACAATTAATGGCATTAATGTAACGTTATAATTGTTAATCATAATCGATTCTCTACAAATTCCTTAACGCTTTCCGTAATTAATGCCTATTAATTACCAATAATACGTATCTGTACAACTTTTACTATAAAAGTTCATTCTTCTGATATAACTGCTGAATATCAATAGGTACGAGCTTTTATCCTTCCTCTGCCTGTGCCTGTTGAAGCTTGTGCCTTTTTTCTTTGCCAATCAGTCACTCTTCTACTAGTCTATCACCTCATATTTAATTCCATACACGAACTCAATTTTTCCCAATACAGGTAGTCCCCCCACTTGCCATTTATTCTTCAATAGAATATTTGGGAAGTGGATCTCATTAGAGCGGGAATTTTTGCCGCCATTATTTTTTCTCTGGAACTGATGCTTCATATATCACTCCCATTTAATGTTCACGACACGTGGCACCTCCCGATTGGTTCTGCAACTTTTCAGCGCTTTTTAGGGCTTTTTAACGGCTTCATTAATTATGAAATGACAACTTTCATCATGACGTTTCTATCATTGTGTCTTTTCCTTTGACGGTTGCTTCTGAGTATAAATATAAGCCTTCATCTTTGTCTTTTTTACAAAAGGTTCAGAATATTCAACTTTTGTCTTCTTCTTCCTCGTACTATTATGTCTTCCTCAAACCCTAACCCTCGTAGAGTTCCTATCGTTGATAACCTTCCTCTTGCTCCTATTAAGAGTAGGAGAGGAGGAAGACTTCGTAATTTAGGTTCTTCATCTTCTCGGGGTCCTTCTCTTCCTTCTACGAGTTCAAATCCACCTTCTAGAACTAGAGGTTCCCTTTCTCAAAGGTCTTCATCTAGAAATAAAGAGCCCAATGAACCTCTTTGTGAACCTTTGGTTGACGAAATTGTTCCTGCTGAACTATCTTTTTATAATGATAGAGAGTCCATCAGAAACCAAGTTTCTTCTATGTCTTCATTAGATCGTGCTGATATTTACCCAACTCAGATCACTAAAGGTTTGATTTCCGTGGTTCGTAGGGATTGCCACTGGAGTCATGATTTTCCCATTATAATCCCCAATGCAAACCAAAGAATCACTTCTTATTTGATTGGGTTTTCTTTCGTATATACATACCCTTTTACTTTGAATTTCAAACCTCCTATTGACCCGGTTATCCTCGAATTCTGTCGTTTTTTCGATGTTTGCTTAGGACAAATTGGCCCTATCGCGTGGAGGGTCGTTGCTTGTTTGAGGCATTTGGCCAACATAGTTGGCTTGCCTTTTACTTTCTTCCATTTAATCCATCTTTATTCTCCCAAACTTTTCCGTCATGTAATTTTTACCTTAGTAGCGAGAAGTAAAAGAGTTCTGGTCAGCCCAGAGGACGATAAAGACCGTGGCTGGTATGCCAGGTTTGTTGTTGCCCCCGCTGTTGGTTTAGTGGGTGAAGGGAATGTTCCATTTCCTGAGAAATAGAATTTTGCACGTAAGTTTTCTTTTCATAACTTTTCTATGCCTCTCTTTTTATTTTTGATGATTGTCATTTTAACTTCTTCTTCTTTTTCAGCAACCATGGGAATTGTTGATGAAATTTCCAATTTCCGTGGTTGGGTAGAAAAGTTGTTAAGTTTTGCTCTGATGGAAGGTAGATCTTGGAAAAACCTTTCTCATCGGTTTGGTTGGAACGTGAAAACTCACGGTAAATGCTTTTCCTTTATATCCTTCGTATTTCTATTTACTTCTTTCCTTAAAACTTATTTTAATCCTTCTTTTTATCAGGATTTCCCATTCGAGGCATAAGTGTTGAGGCCGTCATAGCTTCCATAGTTTCTTTGGAAAGAGCCCAAGATATTGTTCTAGGTTCTTCATCGAAAAGGAAAGCCTCCGCTGATCAAGATTCTGAAGAAGAGGAAGAACAAGATGAGGGTTCTTTGATAAAAAGGCCACGAGCTAGAAGACGCATTATTTCAGATGATGAAGCATCTCCCCCTCGTTCTATTCCTTTAATTGAGCCTGTTGAAGCCACTTTGGTGATTTCTGATGATGACACTCCCGCGACTGCTCGTGATTCTGTTGATCAGTTTTTTGCTCGTGGGTTTGATAGTGAAAGTTTAGATCCAGTTTCTGATGAAGCGCCCCTTGCCTCATTTTCCATGCCTGCTCCTGTGGCATCTTCTTTACCGGTTGTGACCGCTGCTGTCGCTGCTCTGCCCCCAGGCTATTTTGACTCCTTCCACAGTCCCTCCTACAGCTGTCCATCATACTGAAGTTGGTTCCTCCAGTGGAAGTGAAGCTATGAGGCAGGTTATCATCGAGGTTCCTGCCGATGGTAACCTTTTGAGGAAATCAGGTCGGGCTGATGTGTGGTTGAAGCCTCTAATTGGTCCAGTTGAGAAATCCAAGCTTGAGAGTCACAACTCTTTGACTTGGATGAATGACATAGTGCAATCATCTTTAAAGGTATTCTTTTTCATACTTTACTCCACCCTTCTTCTATTTAAGGTTCTTACTGTTTTTCCTTTTTTAGATCAATCTAGTTGGCACGGAGATGATGAAAAGAATTTCCCACACGGAGCAATTAATGCATGATTATCAAGTTGGAGCGGACAACTGGAGAGAACAGTATGAAGGTCTTCAAATTGACATGGAAGTGTTAGAAGAGAGTAAGTGTACCTTAGAGCAGCAACTGAAGGTTTTAACTTCAGAGTTAGCAATCGAGAAGGCTTCCTCAAATCAAGCTGATAAGGACAAGAATCTCCTCGAAACATCTTTCTCTGAGCAGCTTTCTAAAGCTAGTGAAGAAATCAGAGAACTGAAGGCTTTCTAAGCAAGAAGGAAGCTTATGCTGGTGAACTCGTGCAAACACTTTCTCAGACCCAAGAAGATCTTCATGAGTCTTCTAACAAGGTCAGTTTTTAGAGAGTTCACTCGCTCCTCTGCAAGCTTCTTATGATTCTGCCCTGGCTGAAAATGAAAAGCTTAAAAACGAGATTGATCAGTGGGAACAAGATTACGAGATTCTTGAGGACAAGACTGCAATGGAAGTGAGTTGGGCAATTTTAAACACACGCCACGATACCCTAGTGAAAGTTGGCCAAGAGGGCTTTAGTTTGGATGCTGAGTTAGCCAAAATAAAAGAGACTATTGAAAAAACTCAGCAAAACCAAGACTTCCCTTCTCCTATGACTGATATTCCCGAGCACATTAAAGATGATGTGGGTATGGTGAATGCTCCAACTCCTTCAAGCCATCTCGAACCTTCTGCTGCTAATGACCCTGTTTCAGATCCTTCTTCAACCCCTCAGTGAAAAGTTTATGACATGTTACTTTCCCTTTTTTTTTTTGTGAATGTGGTTGTAACCCCCGGTCCCATTTGGGGGTGTAGTTTTTTTTGGAAATGATAAGTCCCCAGATATTTTCGGGGCACTTTTGTATAAATGACAAATAGTTTATGACTAAGTTTAGTCTGAACTTTTTAATATTAAGAAGTTTTCTGTTTTAACTTAGTTATTTTGAGCTTCTGTTTTGCTTGTCTTTGCCTTTATACTTTAATGACTTGTTAATTAATTCGTGGGTTTATGTTTTACCCGTTTTTTGCATTATTTGTCTTATAAAATGCTGTGTTAACTTCATGGATTTTCGAATCACACATGAATTTTATAAAAGAGGGCCCTTTTATTTTCGACACTTAATGAAGAAGACGTCTCAACTTCATAATGGTGTAAACGTACGACAAAAGAAATAGGAACACACATGTTTCTTGAAATAACTTTGATAAAGTTTTTATTTGAACTTTGTCAAGTTTAAATATCATCTTACATATGTTCAAATAACTTCTATAACTTTTCTCGTAACTGTTTTCTTTTACAACAGATTTCAAAAGAGAAAATAAAACTCAAGGTTTTCCTTTACAACCTGTTTCTATACATTGCCTTTAACCTGATTTTTGAAATCTACAAGGTTTTTCGAATGGCTTTGTGTTATTTGGCTCGTAACTTTGCTCTGAACTTGACTCATTCGATGAGTAGACTTTGAGGCTTTGATTTGTACTTTCGACTATCTTTTTAGTCTTCTTTGCCTTCTTTATATGTATGTCGTATATTATATAGTCCCTCAAGTGTTTGAGCTTTGAAGTATGAAATCTCGAGCACTTGTTTACTCCTCTTATTTGGTCCTTTTCCTGAAAAGGAAAAAACATACGGGACTCGGAGGTGCGATTATAGATGAAGACTGCTAAACCCGTTTGAATTTCTATCAGAATAAATTGTAACCCTAGACCGAGAATTTATATTTTTTCGCGTGTCTTGCAGGTCGTGACTCATCATTTAGTACGGGTTAGATTTTTGCCTATCATCTAAAATCGTTGGTAAAATTTTAATAATTTAAAAAATAAAATTCGAAAATGAGGGTACCTGCCAGTGGATACTTCTTTTCCTTAGAAATAATATCTTTTCAGATGAACGACATTCCAATGTGAAGGTAAAATCTTACCATCCGTTGTTTCCAGCTCGTATGCTCCCTTTTCTGTGATACCGTGAATCTTATAAGGTCCTTCCCAAGTTGGACTTAACTTTCTCGCGTTAGCCGCTCTCGTGGATTGAAAAACCTTTTTGAGTACGAAGTCCCCAATCTTGAAGTATCTTAGGCGAGCTTTCCGATTATAATATCGTTCCATAACCTGTTTTTGTGCTGACATTCTTATTAACGCAGCTTCCCTCCTTTCCTCAAGTAAATCTAAGTTTATTCGCATTTCTTCATTATTGGATTCCTTAGTTGCTT